TTTCCCATGGGTGTTTTCAGATATTTCGTTTTCGCATATTCCTGTAAAGCCATCCTAAGTCCACCAATTGACAGGACAGCAGACATCCGGCAATGAATTCTTTAAGTGAGACACCGAAGAAATAGCAATGCACTAATTCGGGGACCATTGTCTTCATCTTGAGTGCCAAAACAATTCACCAAGCCTATTACACCTTCATTTTGATTATAGTGTGGCGGCAGATAATTCTTCAGAATTATTGGCCACTGAACATTGGATGTTGACCCTAACTGTTTAAGTCAACTTGTTTAGCTGAAGGCTTTCGGTCAGGCATCCACGCGATTTGGTACTCCGTCGTGTCACGTTCGTTCGTTCGTGCACGATCCCTAGCTAGCTAAGCAATCATCTGGCACTCCGATTTGGTCCCGAAATTTATCTCGTAATGTGGACGATCAATTATTGTGTTTTGCTTTGGTCTACACAGGACGAATACTATAGAAGTTGTGGGTATTAGATCTTGCGTTGTTATACATTGTACTATACGTGAACGTCAATACCGTCAGCCTCTAAAATGGCTTGATTCCACTTAGTATTTTTCGTACAAGCATGGAATTTTCAGCATTTAATGTAGGCAGCCCAAATTTAGAGGGATGACCATTAATACCAGATGTGTGTCGGCTGGGGATCGATCCCTGGACTGTGTGCATGGTCGGCAAGCGTCCTAGCCTCTGCGCCACCGACGCTCCAGCGAACAGTTTCAGAACCAGCACCCCGTTATTGTTACACTCACTGAATTTTTTCTGGACGGAGACCTTTAATCCTTTACAAAACATGCTTTGATGTATTGCGAGTAGTGTAATGCTTAAGGGCAGCTACCAGGGTATTTGCATGCAGCGTAATTCCTTCATATTCAAATGTCCTGCATATCCATATACCTTTAAGTTGAACAGGGAATTACCGCTACAACTTCTGATCGCATGTGGTATCTGTACAGCGCAATTCTTCTGGGCCCATCTGGAGTACTGAAATTGATCATTAATTTTATGGCTAGATTAATTTGGAATGTTCTTCTGTCTCCTAAACGTCCACATTACATTAATTTCTGAGGGGTTAAGTGCCTGCTATAATCTAATCCATTCCTCATAATCCCAACTTGTACTAGACACTCCATCCAGTACTAAGAGAACTCTGTATATCTTTCTCAGTCAATGATCCCGATTCTATCGGAATCGGCCAACTAGTCCCAACATTAAGTTCCCTACCAGCAGACAGCTTAACGTCAACTACCCCACAGCACGCTGAGGTTGTGAGACTCACTGTCAGCTGCCTTTATAGCAATGTGAGAGGGAAAGTAGGTGAACTCAGAAACCTCCAGTCACACCTAGAGCTTATAATAATAATACTCGCTGAAACCTGGCTAACCCCCACTATTGCCGACAGCGAAATCAGTATAGGTGACATGGTTCTGGTCAAGAGAGACGGGGATAATAAGGAAGGAGAGGGAATTGCCATATACTTTGACAAGCAACTTTAATGTGTGCGCGCAACAGACCCATGACTTATTGAACTCCTAGACTCCATATGGTGTCATTTCACCGTAGGCCACACCAAGCATTTACTGGGTGGCATCTGCCAATCATCCGCCTGTAGGGCAGAGCACAGCCAGCTACTGCTCAGCAGCACCACAGGTATATGGGACTTGGGCTATGACCAAATCACCATAGCTGGAGATTTCAATCACCTATCACTGAACCTTGGCTCGGGGTATGCTAAGCGAAAATTCGGCCGAAATCTACTGCAAACTATTCGAAATACAGGACTGACTGAGAATGTTGGAGACGACACTAGGTGGGGCCGTAGTAGAAAGTCATCGAAACTAGACTACGTTCTAACTAGTGATCAACTACTAGTCGAAAAAGTCTAGATTATGACTCCTCTAGGAACTAGTGACCGTGCAGTCAAAGGTTTCGACCTTGTTCTCTGTGAGCATTCTCAGTGGGACGTTACGCGACCATGTCTGCGTTATAGCAAGGCGGACCATGCTGAAATGCGGAGGTTTTTGTCCGACGCAGATTGGCCCTTTGCATGGGAATAGTGCCTGTGGATGAACACTGGGAAGTGGTAAAATAGATTATTATTCATACAGCAATCACGGATACCGTCCCTTCAGTCACAACACAGCCCAAAAGAAAGTCATCATGGCTGAAGAGGCACGAAACGTATCCTGCAAGCAAAGCGGAAGGCTTGGTTTACATGGCGCGTATCCAAGTGTCAGATCGACCACAACTCATACCTGGAACTCAGGAACAGGTGCAATGCGAAAGTCAGGAGTGACAGGTCATTCCAGGCTAACCTTGCCAAAAAACTCCTAGCAAACCCCGAAAACTTGGATTGATTCATATCGGAAATAAAACCAACCAACCAGGGGAAATGCGCCTTAGTAGGCCCAGATGGTCAATATGTCACTAGTCTGAAGGTGGCGGAAAGATTCAGTTTGGCCTTCGCCAAACGGTTAAATAGCAATGTGGGTATTGCCGGCACCGACAAAAATGGCAACACTACTATTTCACCGGAGGAAAATCTAGTGGCCACTTCCCGAATAAACCCGGCAATAGTACTAGGGAAGCTACAGGCACTCCGACCTGGGAAGTCCCCAGGCTGTGACCACATCAGGCCATCTGTTCTGAAACAGTGCGCCGAAGCTCTCTGTAGAGTCTTGTGCGACTTCTTCCAACACTCGACGAATTCGGGGAAACTGCCAAGGGAATAGAAAAGAGCCATCCTTTCTCCGATCTTCAAGGGTGGGGATAAGCAAAATGCCTCAACTATAGACCAGTAGCTCTGTAACGACAGAAGGCAAGAGTCAGGCAACAGATCATTTATTAAGGAAATCAACGCATACTTATATATTTGCATGTACATTACTATGGATATTTAAGCAAACAAACACAGTCTTCCGATTGGTTGTTTCTCACGTAAAGTTAATCTTTCATCTATTTGTGACTGTTTCTTGAATGTCAAATCCTCTATATGTTCACTGCATCCGCCTACGCAAAGTCTGCTGTGGTCGGTTTTGAATCAATCTTTGTTCACATTTTCTCACGACAAATATTGGGAACGCAAATATTGACGTAAATTACTGTCTACCAATTTGGCTAGTAGACAGCTCTCACCACAGCTCTACTCCCGGTGGTATCAAAAGTACTGGAAAGTATTATTGACGATCACATCAGGGATAACCTCGATAGGTCCAATATACTCCATGAAGCCCAAAACGGTTTCAGGAAAAGCAGATCCTGTGTAACAAACCTATTAGCTTGGTACGATTGGACATCATGCTGGGATATGAATGTTCCAGTCCATGCGGTATTTCTAAACTTTGAGAAGACATTTGACACAGTTCACCATGACCTTCTCCTACACACAATAAGTCAGGCAGGTATAGGTAAGCCACTTCTGTCATGGTTAAAAGACTACCTAGCTGAAAGGAAATTTCGCACATCCCGGCACAGATCATCATCAGGAGTGTCGCAGGGTTCTATCCTAGGACCACTGATGCTTTTGATTTCTATCAATGATCTACCATGCCGTCTAAGCTCCTCAATTCTTCTATGCGCTGACGACGTAAAGATATGGAGAGCGATTAAGTACCCGGAGGACTCAGATAGGCTGCAGGAAGATCTAAACCTTCTGGAAGACTGGGCGGTGGCCAGTGGCATGACTTTCAACCTGAAAAAGTGCAAAGTAGTGAAGTTACGCACCTGTAGACTGCAGAATGCAAGTTACATCCTGTGCAATGAAGGCTAGTCCTGCACAAGGTCGGAGCTCAACTTAGGTCTAGTTCCAACCGAAAAAATGGGCACAAGCGTAAATTACACGAGGGTTGTAGCAAGGGCATAGGTGGTCATACACTTTACACATAAACAGTTAGGTGCACCCACTCCTCAGCTATTTCTAAGTTTGTACAAAACATACGTGAGACCACACCTTGAAATGCATAATATTATTGCACCCCCAATGCTTGGAAGAGACGCCAACCTCTTGGAAAGAGTCCAAAGACGGGCGACAAAACGAGTGGTCGGTTTCCAAAATAAACCATATAATGAAAGGCTAAAGAAATTAGGCCTATTCACACTTAGCTACCGTCGGCTTAGGGGGGATTTGATTACTGCCTACAAGATAATAAATGACCAGAATCACCCAAACAAAGACGTTCTGCCATTGAGTAGGTGTAGGCTCCCTCGTGGAAATCCCAGAGGGATAGCTCCGAAGAGGGCAAGGACCTGGGTGTGCTCCCACTTTTTCTCACTGCAGGTTTGCTGTCCCTGGAATTCCTTACCGGCAGATGTAACTACGGCACCATCTGTGGACGCCTTTAAGCGAAGGTTGAACAATCATGCAGTGGCACAAGGACTGCATCCACATGGCTTATCCCCTTAAAATCTCATACACCATTCCGGAGTAGACAAATAAGTTCATCGTTTTACTTCCTTACGTTCTATCCCATCTTACTCTCTTGACAACTTATTATTATTGTTACTATCATTATTACCGATACATATATATACCAAATTCAAATTTAATCAGCTGACTATTGTTACGTTTTCTTTATTTGTTTTTCTGTCTGTTAGTCTGAATACCTTCACTAATTATATCTATTACTATTATTCTCTTTTCTTTTGACGACGATACCGGAGGACTAACTGGTGAAAGGATCAACTCCATTCACCGCAGTAACATTCTTAACACACCTCATACTACAAACCACATATAATTAATCCCAGCTCTACTCCTTCTGGAGTCAACCAAAGCTACATAAGTCGAGTGGCGGGACGAGACACGCAGAAGTTTACCGAAGATCAGGAACCTATAACTCACAATCAAGAGGCAACCGGAAAGAAATCAAAACTGTTATACTAGCTCGTAAAAACGATATTGGAGTATCCACTCATGATCAAGCTGTAACCAAAATAAAAATTTAAAAAATGTGCTTGTTTTAGGTCTTTCCAACTTCATGTTACCACGGTAACGGCATGGCGGAAATTTCACGTGAGATTCTACGCTGGCTTCTTTCTTTAAATATAAATGTACACCACGAGAAACTTAAATGGTATGTTTCACGATACATAACCGACAAAAAACAATCAGGTGCGTTTCTAACGGATTATTGGTGGCTGAAATAATACATAACTACTATCCAAAGTCAGTAAACCTTCAAAAGTTTAATGACGGCCAAGGCATCACTGTTAGATTAGAAAACTGGAAATTAATAAATGAGGTTGATACAAAGTATTTATCATAAGTTTAGATTTTTCGTCGTCTGAACATTTATGTGCCGCAAGATATTATCGAAGGGGTTATATTTAACAAAAGTAATGCAGCGGTCATCCTCTTAACTTTACTCTATGAATTACTCACACGCAAAAAGTAAAATTGTTGCACTCACTTTTTAAGTATTTAGAACGGTGCAGAGTGTGACTTTCGACCCAACAGACCTCGAATATCAGTGTTCCCTTCCAATTCACGCCAGATCTTGTTTGGCTAAATTCATCAAGGATAATGTATCCTCTTCAGAATTGGAGACAAAACCGGATATTTTCACCAATAAAAAGAAAGTAAAACATCTTTCTGAATATATATTTGCAAAATTAAAACAGTATCAGTCTTTAGTGTTAGCCTACAGAACCATGAAAATAACAGAAAGAATGAACGAACCATGCAGATATCGGGTATTTCGGCCGCTAGGACTGCAGTGTCGGCGTTCCGAACGATCTGAACTCCGTGAAATCAATAACAACAAGGAAGCAGACACCGTACTAAATGGTAAGTATATATATATATATTTCAAAATCGTGATTAAGAGTTGTAACATTATGCTTAACTTAGGTGTGGTTTAGAATATAAAACGAAATTTCTGCGTTTTTTGAGAATATGAAGCACTTAACGAAGACTTTTCAAACTAGTATCCATTTAATCTTCATGCAAGACATCTTCAAAATAGATTATCTAGCCTGAAGACTTAAACATAGCAACATATCATGAAATCATCTCAAACGACCGCAGCTTTTTTGTGAATTTCTTGTTGCACGTCTCTACTATGCAATAACTGTGTACTCTTTAGATGCTTATTCGTTTTGCTCCTCCCATTTATCCCACAAATTCTCTAAGATAAAGTTTTTGATTATGCACATTGTCCCTTCTCGGACAGAGGAACTCAGTTAAGCTTACTACAACTTGGCTTGAGAAACGCCTCAGGCAACGTCAAGTGGTCTATGACATCCACCGTACCTTACTATATTCTGATATTTCTAGGGCAAGAAAACTTTGTTTACGGGCATTCTGCTACTTTATAATATGTATTCAGAAAAGCTTGTCGTTAATGACGATATAAAATCAAAATAACGTCGAACATAAATTCATGAACACATTCAAATTAGATTCACTTTGACTACTAGTTGTGCCATCAGGCTGATCGAAAATTTCCTAGAATTTGATGCTGCTGAGACTAAAAGTCAGTACACTTATCTAAGAATTTAAAATAATTTGGTCGATATAGTATTAAAATCACTATTCGAATACTTTTCAAAACAATTCAGACCATCTATAATGATTTCGATAAGAAAACATGGCTAAAGCACTTTTCACCAGATTCGGTAAGTTTTTGCCTTGCATGTTAGGAAAATAAAGAGTGCATTCTATGGAAAACCACTCTAGATTTTGAACCTTAGGATAAATCTGATGTTTTACTAGTAATATGCTACAGTATAAGACTTTGATTGTACAATAAGTAAAAGATATACAGGATGTAGCATGACTATATTTATTTGACTTGACCACAAAACAGAGCTACTCGGGTAGATAAAGTTGACTGGAGTATCGATTATGACTGCACTAATATTGCAGTCGCATGAACAGAATTAGAAAGCTGAAATCAGAATCATCCCAAAGGTTTATAACATAAGCGTTATGAAAGATCAAAATCCATTTAAGGAGCACATATACTTAGCAGAAATTACTGTCCCATGTAAATGTTAGTTACCTTTCAGGAAGATATTTCAGCATATGAGAGTGCTTGATTTTTTTCTAAGATTTTGCTATAACTGCATATTTTGGTTGATTTTACTGCGCGAAGTCGCCACATTCACCACTCTCCTATCTAAAGGACAGCTGAAACATGCAAAATGTCTTCTGAGTGGATCAAGTATAATGCATAGATTCGTAGAGCAAAGAGTAGCAAAATGCTAACAGCTGTTCCTCATCTCAGTGATTTTCACTGGTTCTCGAGCAGATGTAATACTGTCAATAGATCTTAACCGAGACCAACTGCTTATTCAGATCCCAGAGGATCACTTAATAAATTTTAATTAGTAAATTCTTACCTTTAATCCATAAATGCACGAGAATGTTTACATAAAAAACACCCGAAGTTTTGCAAATAAGTTAAGTTAGTACATAACATGCATAAGTAGTCACAGTTGCCAAAAATAGTAAAACCTAAGTTATTTGTCTCCCTACAAATATTATATTCTGATGATAGATTCTCTAGCTTAACGGCAGTGCTTGCTCGAAATTACATTCACGTGATCTCTACGAAAAAAATACACATGGAATACTATAACAACCACCTGAAGTCGCAGACAAGGAACTAAGCGAAACAACAGTGAGGTAATAACACATACACTCAACATATTAAGTGTAGATTAGAACTATTGTACGATACTGTCACTTATAATATGAGTTATACATAAATCCTATCAGTGTTAATCAGCTTTCCAAGAAACCAAGCCAAGATGACAACTTCTAAGTCAGACATTGGATTAGTAATTTCTAACAGGCACACGCTTCCACATTTATAGAACTATCGAGTCTGAAACAAAAACCTAGTCTCAGACTTCTGAAGGTATTCATCTGTTCAGGGGCCTATAATTCGTTTGGAAATTTATTTACAGCTTTTGAACAGAATATTTCTTTCTTAATCCACTTTACGACGGTAAAACCATCGTAGACTAACTCACAAGTGAAGAATCAGTGAAAGAACGGATTTATTCGTGCGCTTAAGCATGCAGTAGTACATTAAGGACTCTGAAAATCTCGTGGAATATTACATCAAAGTAGCTGGTTGATAATAAAGAGTAAACAGAAGTAGAGAGTGCTGTCAAATATTCAGACGAACTACACTAGTGATAGTACGTCAGAATTCACTTAATATATTTTTCAAGAAATAGTCATGGACGACAGGTGTGTTTTGCACCTGAGAAGTGAGAGTCAAACGTGCTGTCCACTGAATGTCTACCAAATAAAAAAATGGTGCTTAGTACTGGGTAGATAGCTCTTTCTAAATGTCTAGGGTCCATAATCATACGCTAAATAGCAACCCAAAAGACTTCATACTTAATCATGATTGTATTAACCAGACGGTTACTTTCTTACAGAAACATTTACATTTATCTATTAGCTACCTGCATTTAATAACCTTCAATCTAATCTCACTGATCTTCACGCCCTTAATTACAATTTGATTAATCTTCAGTATTTTGAGGATGTTAATAATATTCCAAACTACTCTTCTCATTTTGCTTTTTTGTTGTTCGACGGATTGAATGTACCCACTGAATTCTTGTTAGGTTCTTGGAGGTGATCAGCAGGAAGCTTTAAACCTAGGGTTCGCCTTGTTGGCACTAGTCATCAGGGTATATCTACAATATTTAAGGAACTCATGTCCCCTGTTGCAGTGCAAGTGAGATATGACAGCTAGTTAAAATCTATAGCATTCCGCAGAAGTGGGTTTGGTTCCACTTTCACATTCTACATAGTATATGCGTAAAATGTTTGTCAAACTGGTTCATTCTAGGTTGCCTACTGATGACTGACAGACTTCTATTAGCATGCCTACGCAAAGAAATTAGGTAACAATCCGTCACAGTAATAAAACAGCTTTCTTTACTACTGACAGTTTGAAGAATGAATTCGAATCCTTCGAGGGTAGTATAGTCAGTAAGAAAGTCCACTTAACAAGTATTTATCATATTCATCATCCCGATCTGAATAAGTTTAACATCTTTCTCTTTTTGTTTCAGATACACAGACGGAAGATACTGTAATAACCATTCAACCGAAACAACAAGCGGTTTTCCAATGAACCTTATTTTAACAAGTCAATAATTGTATTAGCATTAACCCGTACACCGTTTATTTCCACATAATTACAGAATTAAAGCATAAAAATAGCTTACTCAGCTCCTACTCAATCATGTTACGTTTATAATTTTGATGATGAAACAGCATTTGTTAATAAAAATGTGAACATAATTTAGTCACAAAAACAAAATGAAACTTTTCTGTATTGTTGTGCCCCATCGGGATCTGCAAAGTAATCCCAGCTTGTTTCATCACTTTACTATTTTAAATAATTTAGTCGCGTTAATTATCAGAAGACATGGAGAAATCGTTGCAATTTATATATATATTACAGAAATTTCGCATATCCTCGTGAGATATAAAGCTGAACAGCACACAGTGTCTTCTTTTACTTTACTTAGCTTCTATCACCATGAAAACTTTGAATACAAAGTTAGACTATAAGGATGAGGATTATGGATGTGCCTTCAAGTGATAAGGTGCAATTTTGCATCGAAAGTAACAGAAGAGACAAACAGCGATATGTGCTGGACGACAATCAGATGAAAACGAACTTCCAATCGACCATTACATGTAAGCTTTTTACATTTCGCCGAAATAATTTGTTTGAGCGTTGAAGGACAAAAGATATGAACACAGCATTTGTTTGAATTAGGAAACACCAGAGAAAATAAATTACTAAAGACTTGACCCAACATCTGTAGTATTCTGCAGTTATGAAAAGTGAGTATTAATATCCAAACATAAGCACTCACAGATAGGCACACATGTCGATGGTTACCTCAATGCGCATACACTGGGGGATCCTTCGAGTGTTATCAGTAGAATGCAGTGAGTGGAGATGACTGTTTGCATCAACACTGAAAACTAGCCAAATTATCCGTACAGGACTTAAGCACTATGAAGATAGACTTTCACGTAATCCATCTGTTGCTCATTAGAAGAATATAACTAGATTATCCGAGACCATGGTTAATCAACCGTTTATCAGTCTTAGGATATTGCCTATGTTTCCAAAATAAAACTATGCACACGACTGTAGCAGTTCAACCTGCCATACTCCATGTACCACAAAAATGTAGTGAAAAATAATAAATCAAAGGAACTATAATGAACGAAAATGTACGTTGGAGTGACTACGTAAATCGCGAGTGTTTAATGGAGCTGGGAGACAGAGTGAGTGCATCTGCTTCAATAAGAACAATTGTGAATCACATCAACAACAGTTCTCAGCATATTGAGGACCCAGGCAGCTCACGTGGCTCAAACCAGACGTCAAACACTCCAACGATTGATTTGACCATCCCTTTCTCTTCTCCAACCTAATCCAACTAGATAACATCGTCCGACGAGGAAAACGATGGCTTGACATGCGCAGCACGTATCTTAGCCATCTCAGTCAAAGTGGTTTCGTAGGCCCATCAACTGATTTCCATTTTAAACCACAGGTATTACTCACCATATTTTATTATGTACTCAGGAGATAAAACACAAAAACCGATAGTCAGAGACAACTAGCTTCTCGAAGTCTGCAATTTCCAACGACCACGTCTCACTTCTGTAGAGAATTAGTGCGCAAAACACGTTTCCTATGATCGATAACCGGATAGCACGTTTAAAACAGAGGTGATTTAGGTTAGCGAATACCGCATAAGCCTATTGTATCCGTGCTAAAACTTCGTCAGCCAACATTCCACATAAGTGAAGCAGTCACATGTCCAATCGCTTCACCTACGATCGTAAGACTAGGGGACTTAGCAGATCAGTCCTACGGCATCATCGCACACCTAACAGGGACGAATCGCATGTAACCAAACTACGATTTCTCAGTGTTTAGTAAACCATTTTGTCAGCGTCTCGTGACCTTACAGTTAATTAAAGGTTAAGCCTCTTGAACTATCGAAGTCATCACAATATGTAGTACACATATATACTGCTAACGAAAGATGACATTCATGATAGAACTTCGACTAAACTCGTAGTGCTCAGTAAAGAATTACAAGTAATAAGTTTCCAAGAACTCAGAGGATATACATCTTCTTACACTATTCACGGACCAAAGAAAAAGCATGTTACATTTCTCAGAATGCCACACACCTATTAAACGCTGCACTTAGAAATAAATAACAAGATACTGCATTGTGATAACTAACATGCTACCCTGAAGTGACTGTTGCACTGTGGATACAATCAGCAATTCCTCAGAGTATATATAACCAACAATCATGACCACATCTATGCTTTGAAAATAGCATGATGTTGGTGCAGTGGAGTTATAAGCTAGGGAAAACTTAGTGTACAAACATACACAACCAAGTCGTGAAAATTACAAAATCACTTGAAATTATAACACCATGAAATCAGTTTGATAGACCCAGATAGCATAAGAACATGGTCATCAGTTCCCAAGAAGCTTGTTTGATATATTACTAGACAAACAACCACATGTTGCACATGTAAGGGAATAATGGTTTCGAAGCGCATTTTCAAGAACTAAGCTTAGCAACTTTTGTTGAATCACAGCACAGTTTGAATTTGTACAACACTGGGAAAGGAAACGTGACAGTTTGCTAAACTCAATTAGATGTAGCAAGCCTTAACAGCACCTTATTCTCAAACACACATTTTGTTCATTCACGTAACGGTACTTTTCCATCGCAAATAGGCCCAAATTAACCACTACAACCTCGACACAATAAGCTAATGCACGAAAGCCTTAAAATGGCGCAATTACCCTCACCCAGTTGACCGAGGGAGCACAAACACATGGTAACTGATTATGTATTCATACCTGATCCTGGGTTGTCTGACTAGTGTTAGAAATGCTCGAAGAGAGCGAACAGACCCTCTGTAGACGGATTATTTCTAGAGGGAGATTACAAAAGGTATCATTATTTAGCTTTCTTCCAGTCCTAAAGTATTGACACAAAGCGATGGCCAGTCGTTCGGTCTGTACTCTTTATGAGTTTAGGTGAGAAAAGTCCGGAGCTGCCTAACTCTTAGAATTCGCCAACGGTGTGGAAATAAGTCAAACAAACTTAACTTGGAAGTTGCTATAGCACTTATTTTGTAATCACTTGCCTATTTACTGTCTGTTAAGTGGGTAGAAACCTGCTCCAGAATACTAATCAGCACCGACTGGCAATGCCTCAACAAAAATTTATAAGTGCCATAATATTTGCCAATTAACACGACCTCCTAATTCTCAGGACTAAAAGACAACTTTTAGCACATAATCCTATAAAGTTGGGAAATCCCAACAGCAGACAAGTCCATGTAGTATTATGGTTTACAAGATAGGCAATGTATTACTTGCCTGATGCATCCAAGGCACACAAAAGACAAAACCATGACGAACACTGACAAGAATATTCCGAACACTAATTTGCAGTTAAAATGGTAATAAAGCCAAAAAGAAATCGCTATTCACAGACCAATTTATTAGCAGACTTCAGTTCACTTTACAACAGGTAATACCGAACGTATATTCTTCGCATGAGCAATGTTCTGAAAGAAAACTAATCAGCACAAGATAAAAAACTTACCATGCTTTGCAACATTTCCTGTACCACTGGGCCAATGTCTAGTGTGACGGCATCGAAAATGGAAACTTCAGGCTGGTAATTATCTCTTCTTTCCCTCTCCTCTTCCTGCAACTTTATACTGATTCCGCGTACTGGACCAGCTTCAAATCTCTTCATTAAGTGTGTCACATAGCCCGCAATCATGTTCCTCAGCCTTTTTGAACCAATGCATGCGATATCTTGACACACTTTCTTGTTAGTATGGAAGTCTCTGGTCAACTTCGAGTAAAACCTTTCGATAATGAACCTCGAGGCTTTCTTGACAGTTTTTGTTCTGACACGACCCTACAGGCATGTTATTAGTCATTAATCTCAACATACCATGACCACTCAGACTTTTGAAACACGCGACTAGTAATACTGCCGAACAAAACAAAGTGATAAGTTAAATTGTGCCAATATGAATTATGAGACGATATGATAATCTGCCTCTTAACTCGCTCAAAGAGGGGATAATAATAGCAATTATATGTCCCACAGCTTCTCGATAAGCTGTCCTAAAGTAATCGGATACATGCTTCCTAGTTTCAAAACTCAGACGATACTCAAACATCTGTCCTAATTTTACTTCAGTATAATTCTGATCATCTGTGCAGTGTATGCCAGTCTTGAGGCTTTAATTTTCACTGCGATTTTTTTTCCACTTGACTGAAAACTAATGGTTTAAGAAGATACCGTGATAGGATATAAATTTTTTCTCTGATTGATAGCATATTAGTGGGGTTTCAACCTTAACCTTTATAAACCGTTGCGGTTCGCCTTAAGTACTAAAATTAACCAAGAAACTGAAGCAGTTACTCCTTTTGGCTTACTGTGACTCAGTAAAATATCCCACAGAAGTCTGGTCTCCTGTAAGTCAGGGATCTGCCTAAGACAGCCAGTAAGACAGGTTGCCAGTAAATAGAACTTACTATGTAATTTAACTGACAATTTTCCACTGACAACCGGCTTTACATAACACTGAATATCCTACTGTGATAGTCTATTAGAATACTGTGAAGATATATCTTAATGACGAGCCCCCTATGAGTCACAAAAGTTAACACTTGTTCACAGGAGAGGTTTAATTCTGCATTGAACTTATACTCAAGCTAGAGACAGGAGTTGTGATGTTCTAACCAAAATGGCACCTTGGATGTGACGGGGGAGAGTTTTTACTTAGTTAGATGACTTTGATGTTTTTGTGTCATTCAAGCTTCCAACTCTTCTCAGGGACAACAGCTTTAGCGTTTAATGTATCTGTAAAACTTGGGCTTTGTGGTAGTAGGTAGTTCCATATTGATCTGTTTATTGGGTATATACTACTGGGTAACGTCTCGAACACGGTTAACGGTTCATAATCATGCCGACTGCAATTATATCACTTCGAAACTTGATTTTTAAAGTTCTCTTTCTTCTTCCCCTTCTTCTCTCTTAGGGAGAGTAGAATTATCCAGATGTCCTGTATGTGTTGAATCACACTTAT